TTCCTGCTCTGTAATGTGTAAGCCTGAAAGCAGTACATTTAATGTAAGCAGAAGCATTCTGTTGGCTCCAGCTCCTTTTATAGTGGCTCATTTTGAAGTAATGAAAGCTGTGTAATTCTTACAGAACATTAAGTGAGGAAGTGGTGCGTTACAGACCAGGAGCCTGCTGGTTTCAGAGGATGTGATACATCACTGGCTGTTGAACATAACCTGCACTTGCCATTTTTTTGTGTGCGTCTTTTGAAATACCTGTGTATGTTTCTGATACTCAGACAAAATATGCTTCATGTTCAAGTCACATGTTAAATAAGTTTCTAGTAAAAAGTGATGACATAAACAAATGGCAAAATACGTTTCTAAAAATCAGTATAGTCTATGCAGTATTGAAGATTACCGCCCTGTATAGAGACAAGTGAGACTTCTGGATTCTGTAGCGTTACTGGGGTAGGGGGCAGGAAGGAATAAACAGAAATGTTATCCATTTTATAAACTTTCTCGTTCTGTTTCCGTGGAGCAGGGTGTTCAGGCCTATACTAATTTGTATAAAGTACTCATTTATTTTTATTCCCAGATCACTTCCACTAACTAGGTAGACTACTTGACTAGACTGCTTACCATTGTTGTATGCTATTAAATAGATAATCCTTTCCATTCCAGAGCTTATTGAAGAAAAAAAAAAAAAAAAAAAAGGAAAACTCTTTGTAAAGTTTCAATGTTGCATTGCTGAAGTTGGAGGAATAAGCACTGGAGAGGTTGGGTACTAGGTTATGGAGATTTTGCTAGTTCAGCTGTAGCTTAGGCTGGTATCAGTTAAAGCCTGTAGTTGTTAATTAACGTGCGCAGAGAGCTTGTAGTGAAAGTGTAATTCCCACTGGACAAAAATATTTGCACCCCCCCAAGCTAATTTTTAAAAGACTGCAGAGGCTCTGCAGAATGTGTTGTTGTATATCTGGGTATCTGTTTTGATATTCTGGGCTGAAATTTGCAATGTATCATATAACATGAATTTTGAATTTTGACTGCACTCAGCTAGCAAATGCTGTTGAGGCTGAAACACACCTTTCCATATTCCGGATCTGTGGCAGCATTAATAAATTATTATAGCCTGTATATTTTTCTGGAAAGCTGTAGCCATCCCTTGCCTGGTGTATTTTTTGTAATAATTTGTTTCCTGCAGCGGGGAACTAATAGAAAGTGTTGTATGAAAATGCTTTAGTAATATAGTATGGTAATGTGGTTGCAATATGAATCCATACCTGTTAATTGTATGCTGTTTGGTGGAATTATTCCATTCACCTGCAAAGGCCTCTTTCTTTCTCGCGTTCGGTTTCTGTTTAATTGCCTCTCCATTCTGAGGTCTGCAGAGAGACAGCTGCAGAAAGGTAGTTTTATCTCTGCATAAGAGACTTCTTCCATTTCTGCCCTCCTAGAAGATTTTCCTCCATTCAGATAAAACTGCAGATGACATAGTCTGATATGCAGGCCATCTACAAAAAAAGTTGCAGAGGTTTACAGCCAGGAAGTAGTGCTGTAGCCGCAACTGCTTGGGCTTTGCAAGGAAGACTTTGTGGTATGTTTTTTTTCTCCCTTCCCCTAGCACTCATGGTCCACATTCCTGGATATGAGGCCTGGCACATGTTGATGAATGCAAGTTTAATTTAGAAACATGACCACTTGTCACCGTTCAGTCTCATGTTATCAAGCAACGTCTGCTAACACTTGTTTGGCTTGTGAACATTTTCGGTACAGTACTCGCCAGCAAAGAGAAGTTTGTCCCCTTCCCTCCCCCTGCCCAAAGCACAGTCTTTGCAGGCTTTTGGAGTGCAAGTTCTTCTTTTTAATGCTGGAAAATTTCATGGTGGTGGCGGAGGACTTAAGCGCTGTGAGGATGGCGGAGGACGGCAGTGTGGATTCAGATCTCCCAGACTGTAATTGTGATATCACAAGGCAGGCAGCTGTTTTTGTTTCCTTTTGATTGATACAGTTCTTATTGAAGTCTTGGCTTGCTGGGAAACTAATTGAAATACTGATTTTGTAGAGATCACTGCAGTAGCTAAAAATGACAATTTTCTGCTCAGTTTTAAAAATAGCGGAGAGTGATAACAGCATACTTTGTTTTACAGCTAGTCCTTTTGGATCCTGTAATAACTTTCTGTAGCTGACACAGACTTACAACTAAGAAAATCTCTTAACCATCTGAAAGAAACTCTAGACTGGTTTTACTGTTGTTTTTAAATATAAGAGCAGGTACACACATGAGAGAAAGCAGACTTTGTATTTGTCTGCTCACTGTTTGTGTCATCAAAGGGGCATGGCTACAAGCAAAAGGCAGAGAAGGAGAGAGACCGTATAGAAAGTATTTCAGACTTAACAGACCGAAACTGGTCTGTCCTGTACATATGAATGAATGTTTTGTAGCTGCATGTAGTACTTTAGCTCTGCTGTGAACTCAGCCTACATCTTCTTGGATTTTTGATTCAACTTCTGTTTTTATTTCTTCACCTTGTCTTTTCTAGTATCTGTTTCTGTTGTTCCTGGTTCTATAAATTTATTCCTTGAAAGGGGAAACAGTCTGATCTGAGGAGAAAATATAACTGGCAGTACTGTTCACGCTTTGGACAATACTTTTTATTAATCATAAAATATTTATTCTGATTTTAAAATGGACTTTTTTTTTTACAGTGTTCAGGTTCATGAAAGACATGTCCAACTGGTGCTGTTGCATAGGATAAGTGTTTCTTGAAACGTTGCAATTCAAAGTAGACTTTTTGTACTTTTCTACTTTCTACTGGCTTTGTACAGGCGTAGCTGACATAGTCTTTCTGACTGTTTCAATGTTGGTTTTTAAGTTTAATATTAGTAACCAGCTGTCTAAATGACTAATACAGTAGCTATGAGTTCTATATGATACATTGTTAGGGATTTACACTGCTGTTCCTGTTTAGGTTTGAGTGGAATCTAACGCGGTCTAGAGTAGGACTGGTTGAATTAAAGTTGTTTGGACTTAATTTCAACTCCCAAATGTCCTCCCAGTGCCTTTTCTTAATGTAAAACAGACATTTTAAAGTTACGTTGCCTTGTTGGGGAAGCTGGAGTGTGGTAACTGCAATGTAGAAATGCAAGTATCATAAGCTCATTTAAACTTTCAGATGAGTTTTCCTCAATAAACTGTAGAAACAAACAGTGGAATTATGCCTTTTCCTTTCTGAGCAAGGTCAAATGTTGAAGCAATAGCATGGTCAACAAGCAAAAGTGCAGCACTCCATAGAGCCTTAGGTGTTTGTAAAATTTAGCAAGCCTGAAATATGTACATGCTTTAAAACAATGTCCAAGCCTTTGTTTTGAGTGTGGAGTCTCTGTTTGCAAGCAGAGGAATTATTTCAAGTCTCTTGCAGTCACTCGCTCAGATGCTGCAAGAAAAGCATGAGATTATTATCACAATAATTAACTTTTTAAACATAGTGTTGTAAATGAAATCTGAAAAGGTCACAGTTGCATCTGGCTAGGGATCCCACATACTTGGATGGTTTATGATTTGACCTTTGTCTCTAAGTTTGTCTCTAGTTTTATTAGCTTTCAGTCCTTAACACGGGAAGATGGGATTTTGAGCTGGTATATTTTTAAGAGAAAGATACATCTTTGCTGCACGCACATTATGCAGTTGTTTGTACGCAGGCAAAACGTTCAGTGAAGTGAAGAGTGTAGGCATCTTGCGTACTTAAACTCAGAATGAAAACTTTTGGAGGTGATGGATTTGACCTATCATTTGTTTGCAGATACGTTTTCAGAGTAGCTAGAGGCACAACACTGTTGAGTCAGAATAGTAACTACAGCACGGTCCAAGAAGGAGTTATTTATTTGCCTGCATTTCTACCCTGGGCAAGGAACCTGTTGTGTTAGACTCTACAAATAGAGAACAATATGACAACCCTAAATTGTCATTTAGGGGCGGGGGGGTTCTTTTTTGTTTTTTTTTTTTCTTTTTGGAATTCAGATGCAAGTATACTTACAAATTGCAGCAATCCTTGAGGGAAGGGCAGAGTTTAGTAGTAGTCATTGGTTTTGTTTGGAGGTTTCTTTTAATATGTTCTTTTCTCTTTTTCCCTTCCCATGACTAACTTGGATAATGACACTGAAAACAGCTCTCTCTGGGTCATTTCTTGCTCTGGCAGGGAAGCATTCCCATGCAGCCTGACTGAGGCAAAGAGGGTATTTTCAAAATGACAGGCTGCAGGCCTACAGTTGTGCAAAGTTTTGCAGTTGTGCAGGTGCTGCAGACAAAATGTAGCTAAAATCCAGCACACAGGTTAGGGTACTGTACAATTGCAAACAAGAAAACCCTGATCCACAGCTTGGGCTTGCAAATGCTAGAGTAGTGGTACATGTGCACAGGGCTGACATGACTCATTGTTCCCCTTCCTGCTCCAGCACATATGCAAAAGGATCAACAGCATCTAGCCTTAAAAATCTAAGCGCAGGAGAGGCCATTAATGTCAATGACAGAAAAGCTATATTTGAGGTCCAGGAGAGATAACCAACCATCTGCACCGTACATGCAAGTTTCGGTTGGTCCAAACATATGCAGCACTGTGTGTACAGCACATAGTGAGAGAAGGTGGTGCTCCAGACAGATTGCTTTCCAGATATTTCTCCAACACTAAACACACAGCTGTGTTTCAGGGTAACTTGTTGAAGGGGAATTGGAGTGGAGCAGGCTTTCAGCAGATTCTGTTGACTTGAGTCCCTGCATAGCCATATTTTCAGATTACCCAGTTTTTTTTCAGATTACAAACCTGCAGCTCTTGGTCATGGGACTCTGGCATTGAAGCTGCATCTGAACTGTTCTTAAGCACGTTTGCTGCTTATGAGCTACAGTTTGACCATCTGTGATCTAGAAGGAGATGAAAAAGTCAAAGATTTAACAGTCTTGAAGTTTTTAAAGTTTATGTTAAGATTTCTGCATCTTCCTTTCGTGAGGAAAGGATGTCCATATTTGATTCTTAATGGCCAGTTATAACTACTACATTGAGTTTGGAAATACTTGATAAATTTGCTGTTTAGTGTTACGGGAAAATGCACACTGTTTTGTTTTAAGTATGGGTTAGTAAGGTGGCATTTTGTTTGTTTGTCAAATCCAGCAATATTATATTTCTCAACCTAGCTTGAATCCCAGGTGCACTCATCTCAACCCAGCTTTCTAATATTGAAACACTTGTGTGGGAGAGAAGAAGAAGCGTGAAAGGGAATATTACTCCAAATTGTTTGTGGTACATAAAAGAAGAAAGAAAGATTAGAAACAATTTCAGAATCCGCTAATATATTTTAAGTAAGGTAGGGGTAGAAAGAAGGGAGTTACTGCAAGACATTTTTACAGTTGAAACAGGTGAAAAAAAATATTGAAGGTTGGGTGAAGGGTTAGTCAGATTTCCCCCACTCTCTTTTCTAATGCTGTTATCTTAATTCAAGTTCTCTCACTAAAACTTATTTATTCAAGGACAAATCTCACCATTAAGTGGTTCAATGTTTAGAAATCACCAGGATGAGAAAACCCAGTTCATCCCATGCACTCTGCCACTAATACTGGTTAACTGTTACTTGTATTTTTTTATGGTGTAAGAAGACCTTTTGCCTTCTGTTGGTCAAATAACTGAATTGTTTAGATTGTTTGGGGGGTTTGTTGTGTGTGAGTTTATTTAAAAGGCAGGTTTTTCACCAGGTGAACATTTAATTCAACTGATGAAGGTACAGAAGCTTTGAAAACTTTGTCTGGCATTAGTAAGCTGATAATTTTTCTTAGCCAGAGCCTATGAATGCAGAACTATTACACACTTTTGTCACTTATTAAAGGAAGACTTTAGAACACAACTTGCAGTTTAAGTTCTTTCTCTAGTGTGGATCCTCCTGAAACACATATAGAAATTATCCTTTGGGATGTACTTACGCTCCTATTTCCTTTTCTTACAGGGTGAAGAAGTTGAAGGAGACCCTGGTTGCAGTGCAGCAGCTGGATAAGAACATGAGTAGCCTGAGATCTTGGCTAGCCCACATTGAGTCAGAGCTGTCCAAACCTATCGTCTATGAAAGTTGCAACTCTGAGGAGATACAAAGGAAGCTAAATGAACAGCAGGTAAAATACAAAATGAGATAGAAGAGTAAAAATCTTGCTGTGGTCACCACGCTTATCAGGTACACGATGGTGTGAGGAGAACCAAAGTAAAGAGTGTCCTAGGGCTGTCCATATCCACCTCAGTGGTGAGAGGGCATGAGGCAAAGAAGAAGTCTTTAAACGTCAAGGCAAGTAGTACTTACTGTGTCACTTATAGAGCCTTCTGCTGGCTTCGACTTTGAATCCACCAGGAGCTGCTTGACATTCCTGAGTAAGGTAAGGCCCCAAGAGATGTAACCTGAACAAGCTATTGCAATTTTTTTTCTTTGAGGTTTGGTTTTTGATTGTTTGAATTGTCTGTTCCCAGAGGCAAAACTGACACCTATTAGATCTGGCAAATTTTGCACATGCTTGAAAAAGGCTGTTTTTAGCAACCTTTCTAACTCTGTTTTGTTTTGCAGCTTGTAAACGTGTTTGAGAATCACTTTGCATGCAAAGATGCATGAACTATACATGTGAAGTTAAAATCATTTGTTTTATAGTGCGCAAAGCCTTTATGCAGTGCTAGAATGAAGCAGTCAACACTGGAAGGGGCAAATAAATGTTATGTCAAGCAGCTTTTGGCATTACAATTAACAATACAGCTAAGAAAATTTACTATACTTTTTTTTTTCCTGTTTCACTTCACTAGTACATTATGTGCCTGCTTCACTGACTGTGGAAAAGTATTAGATCCTTACAATAGAAGGCAATATGTGGGCACTCCATACGTCAGCTGCCCAGTGTAGTTTTCTTAGAAGCGCAGAGCTGGGGAGGACTGTTGCTCCTTTGCATCCCAGGTTCCACTCTTGTTGGTTATGTCTTGGCAAGAATGTCTTTCTGGTGCTAGTGTCACCTTCACTGTTTGCGAGTTACATGCTCTGCTCCTGAGTACTCTCTCCAGAGGAGGAAGAAATCTGTGGGAAGAGGAGTGCCAGAAGGCTTTGGAGATAGTTAATTTATGAAGTGTACAAACTGGCATTTTTACCTTTTAAATTGAGCCTGGGGTGGAGACCCAAGAACCTCTTCAGTGTTATTTCTGACTGCCCAACTGATTTGCTATGTGGTGGTGCAGAACAGGTTATCGAACTTCTATATGCAATTTACACACGGTTAATAACGTATAACACACAAGAAGCATTTCTAATGCGTGGTGGTTTTGAGGCATTGAAGTGCTGAGTAGGGCTAAATATTGCTAACAGTAAACTAGATACTTGAGGTTTTTTAGTAGTATCCCTATGCAGGCACTCCACAGTTTGTTACAAACCCTCCTTAGGAGATGTGTTCTGGCACGGAGACTGGTGTGTCTCTGTTTTCTGCTCTTTCCTGACAGTGATTCCCATGCAGTGACAAAATGCAGTGATACTCTCTGGAAGTGTAAGTCATTTCGCTGGAGCTTCAAAGGCAGAAAATAGGGGTGAATTTTATCCTGGGAGGATACCATGTTTGGAAACATTATATAACATTATATATAACATTGTAATGACTGGATGTTGATAGTGCTGCAGGCCATGGTCTTAGTAAAACAAATAAGCAAACCTTTAAGGTATGAAAACCCAGTGTTTTTATGGCTGGGAGGCTATATCGCTCTTCGCTGCAGCTCAAAACAGCAGTATGTTGACCACTTTTTCAAGTATTTCATCCCCTTTTTCTCTTCTTTGTTAATGTTTGTATGTTCTTTTCCATGCTTGGTCTTCCACAGAAGCCATGTTATCTTTCCTGTTCATACTGCTACTGGTTCTTTATGTGCAAGTTTACATTAAAAATATAATATTGTGAAAGAGAGGGGCCAAATCCCGTTTCTGTAACTTCAAGCATCATCTACTTCCGGCACATCAGCCAAGAAACAGCTCTGCAGTTGCTGTTCTCTGTAATGAAATTAAAGAGACAGTTAAAGCTGGATATCCTGGGGAAGTTACTGTAACCTCACTGCAGCATTTTCCTAGCATGGCAGCTGCATTTCAAGGATTACTTGTTTATTTACTCTCCAAATCTACTACAACTTGAAATGTGAAAAAGAATGGTACTTGTTTTTGGGATGATCAAGAAAAAAAGCTGTATGTGAGAGACAGCAATGCATAAAAGCGACGCTTCTTGTGTGAACTAACCAAAAGGCTGATTGTTATCTAATAAACATGGAAAGTTAAAGAAGTTAGGGAAAAAAAATGCAAGGCTATGGAGAAAAAGCATTGTAGACATCATTCGTAGAAAGATCCTGTAGGTGGTAGAAGAGTTTAGTGCTTAGGAATCCTCCAGACCACAAACTTTGCAGTTCTCGTTACGTACGACTCTACTCCAAAATAGTACAGAGAAGATTATGTTACCTGAACTTGCTTAACCTCAAGTGTCATAGCTATCTGGAGTGTTTTTCAAAGAATATTGCTTCTATTTATAGTGCCTATCTTTACATAATATCTCAGAATGGAGAGAAAGAAGAATAAGCTCTTGGACATCATGGTGAAAGAGTACTTTGCATGCAAGTGAAAAGTACTCTTTCAGCCAGCACTGAAGAAGAAAATACTACGGTTTTCCACTCAGTGGTCTCAGCAAAATATCCCTTCTGTTTTATAGATGAGAAGAGGAAATGGATCACTTGAGTAATTGAGTCCAATCCCTGTCTGTTATCACAAACAATTAAATGTTTGATTTAAGTTGAGCTAGCTCCATTTCAAAACTAGTTAGCTACATTTCGAAGGACATTTTTTAGACTCTGTATTTAGATCTCATTTCCAGCTGGAAGGCAGGAACTTCATGTTGCTAATTGTTAGAAAAGTTCCTCTAGTTACAACTTAAACTTAGGTAGACCCATGACCAATTCATACTTGTTCTTCCCTTTTTGACACTGTAGTTTCTCTTGTATGCCATCCTTTATTTCACTAATACAATTCTAAAGAGCAGTTTATCTCTACTCAGCCTTACACTATCCAAGTTCTTGTTCTCCTGAATAAACATGTCCATCTCTGATAATCCTAGTAGCTCTTCTCTTCACCGGAACTAGAAGTTACCATAGTATTCTGGATATGATCTCTCACTTTTTTGTGTGACGACATTAATGCTTCTCTGTCACTATTGGGATTATGTTGTTTTAGCCATATGTGTGTCCATCCTAATTTGTCCATCTAATATTCTGATGATTCATTGCAAATGTAGTCAGAAGTCAAGCAGGTTTTCTTTTCCTTGCACTTTTCCAACAGAAGGAGCCAGTTACTTTTACGGTTTGTCTGTGTGTAAACCTGTAGTTCAAAACAGAAGCTGAAATGTTCTTTCAAGATGAGACATTGGCATCAGTGCAGAATAAGCCATATCAACCAAGAAACTGACTTGAGAAGTAATACTGAGCACACGTGATAAGTGCTAAGATAAAATGAGTTTTCTTCAGCTGTTCTGAGTCTCCCTTTCTATTTCCAGTGAAAACATTGTAAAATTGGAAAACTGAAGGAAGAACAGTCTCCTGCTGAAGAT